AAAAAAAATTGTTAAAACTTAAAACTGTGTTTCAACCAAACACCAAGAAGGCAAAAAATTGTAATTTATGCAAAAACTGTAAAACTTTTCTTTTTGGTCTTTGGTTGAAAACAACTTTTGCAAAAAAATGTTTTGGTTGAAACTCTTCAAATTTTTGAAGCAAACGCCTTACTTGCTTGTTGTGGAGATCTAATGAAGTTTTCTCAAAGAGGCTTGTATTTAAAACATGCAACAAAGTGAGAATATTCACAACAATAAGTGTGTGCCTGAATGGGTCTACGAGCTTATGCAACACAGTAAGGAGAATCTTTTTTTTTTCCACTTCAAGTGCTTGTTCTCTGCTTACTATCACGGTACAATCATATCAATTGTATTTTATGAGTAAGTAGCAGTTTCTCTGGTCGTATTTCAACCCTTAAGAAGGTTATACTGTATGATGAAATATAGATTTTCCTAACAAGTCTGAAATCTTCTCTAGGTGGCAACAAAAACCGAATCAAACAAAAATGCAGGCAATGCTATTCTTTATGAATGTGTTGCAACCATTATGAGCGTTGAAGATAATGGCGGTTTGAGGGTACTTGCTATTAATATTCTGGGAAGATTTTTGTCCAACCGTGATAACAATATCAGGTTATTCTCAATCTTCTATTTTTGCATATTTCACCGGCAATATGTTGGGGTTATCTTATCTGGTGACTTTGTCTTTTGGGTCCTGGTGTGATGACCAGTGGTGTCATACACTTGAGAAATTGCTTAACCAAAGAAAAATTCAGTTATAAACAGCCTCTACATTCAATATGCACTTCTGTGTCCAAACTCTATTAATCTCGTATGTATTTAGCAATTAAGTGGTTTATACTATGCTTCTACTTGTTGTGTGCCTTCAATCTATTGGGTATTCTTATACTATAGTTGTCCAGGTGTTAATGGTTATTAGAAATTCTATTGTCTCTTTGAACCCCTTGTTTATTGTGATTGTGATATACAGGTTTTTCTTTTGGGTGAGAAAATACATGTGGCTGTTCACTGCTTATATTTGCAGAATTTGGTGCCGTGACAGATCTTTGGCATGCCCCTAAGTCTGCACCACATGCTAAATACAGTCGCCTGTTTATTTCTTTGCTTTTGCCCTTTTCTTTTGAGGCTATAGAAAGGAGGGGATTCTTTCCTAGTCACTTCTCTGTATGATTCTTGTACTGTTAGATATATCTGTGTGATAGTCTGTTGCTATTTGTCTTGTTAGCATGGGTTCTTTTTTAATCTTAGTGAGTGAGGTCCAATTATTTCAGATATGTTGCACTGAACATGTTGATGAAAGCTCTGGCTGTAGATAGTCAAGCAGTGCAGAGGCATCGGGCAACAATTTTGGAATGTGTGAAGGTATTTGACCTTTACCATCTATTCTTTCTAATAGTTTTTCCACTTCGTCGTACTCATTGTTCTTTCCCTTTGACATGTGAACTACCTCTGTTCAAATATTTCTAGAGCATAAGCTGTAAATGATACCCCGACTAGCCGGATCATGTAATAGCTTGTGCTTCCACAGATTGATAATGGCATTTCTACTTGTCAGATTATGTGGCTTCTTCAGTTAAACTAGCATATTAGGAAATACTATTCGCTGATGTTCCACTTATATCAAACATACAGCAACTTGTGCCTTGTTCAATTTTCAGGATACCGATCCATCGATTCGTAAAAGAGCCGTTGAACTTGTGTATCTCTTAGTAAACGAGAGCAATGTGAAGCCTATGACGAAGGAGTTAATTGAATATCTAGAAGCAAGTGATCCGGAGTTTAGGGGAGATCTCACTGCCAAAATCTGTTCGATTGTGGAGAAGTAAGTGAACACTGAAAATGTTTGTGGGAACTATGATTTTGATTCTGAGAATTCACAGAGTGCATCTGCTTTTACTGTTAGTGAGGGAGGATAGATGTGTTTTTTTGTCCCTTCATTTGTTATTTTCATGTTTTTGTTTCTCTTGATTGTTCTGGTTGCGTCCCCAGGAGAAGCGGGGATTCATGTGTTGTAATATTATTAGATAACTTTCCCAAACAACTGCATTGTTTGTTCTCTTCCAAGGCATCTTCAAATGCATCTCCAACTTACAACTGCTTATGGTACTCCAGGTTCTCACCAGAGAAAATTTGGTACATCGATCAGATGCTTAAGGTTCTCCCTGAGGTATGCATACTTTGATAGATTTCATTGTATTATGATCTTTCTGTTTGAGTTTAAGACTATTAGTAGGCCATATGGTCTTTCTGTTAATTAGGAAACATAAGTTTTATTTAAAACTCTACAACTCCCACTCACATGAGGGCCTAATCTTTTCTTGGGGCAAGCACTGGAAATACCTTTTACATGGGTGGCATCAACTAGACTTGAATTCAGATATATACTTACTTGAATCACATGTTGAATAGTCACTGCCTCGTCTAAAAGCTTGAGTTGTTATTTGTGGGTTTGGGNTACTTGAAATGCTTATTAGCTGTATCCTCACACCTAGATCCAACATTTTATGTTTATCCCTATACCTTAATTTTAAAGGATTTGAGAAATACAACAACAATAACAAGCCTAGTATAATCCCACATAGTGGGGTCTGAAAATCTGACTAACAATTCAAAGAAGAAAAAAAGGAAGAAGTTTTCAGAAAATATGACTAACCATTCAATTCAATTTAAGAAACATCGGAAAATCTGACTGACCATCCCAAGAAAAAGGCTTTGGAAAATCTGACCTTATACACACCCATGCCTTACACTATGTCCTGGTAGCGTAGGAGAAGCTTACACTTCTAGAAATGTTTATAGTTGTACTAGTATTCATTCCAAGTGTAGACGATTATGTGCAAGGTGATCTATTCTTTTCCTTTTTATTTATGAAATTTTCAATCTTTTCTGCACAAATCTGCAATCTTTGCACAGAGGTATGTCGAAATTATGTTACTGTAAAGTGAAAAGGTTGCGTGTTGTCTTGGTGCTTGGTAGTTATCCAGGTAATCTGTTTGGTTGGTAGACTGTCTTCATTTAAAATGTGTGAGTAATCTTTTTGGTTGGTAAACCGTATTCACATAAAATGCATCAGTATCCTTTTGGTTGGTAGACTGTCTTCATTTAAAATGTGTGAGTAATCTTTTTGGTTGGTAAACCGTATTCACATAAAATGCATCAGTATCCTTTTGGTTGGTAGACTGCCTTCACATAAAATGCCTCAATATGTAGGAATAGTAATTCATCAGTATATAGGTTATGTTGCATTACAGTTAGGATATTTCTCATGGAAGGGTAATGTTTAAGATACTCTTTATAAATGCATATCTTTATTGTGGAGGAACCATAGTAGTTACAATTGTTAATCAGTTACAGCCTAAATCAAATACCCACATATGGCCAAGGTGTTTCTTTCACTTAAATTAGTACTTGAAGAGAAATATCATCTTGGTCCTAATGGCTATAATCATTCTGCATTAAGCTTTTATAGAACCAAACTCAAAATCAAAGGGATGTAAATATGATTGCTCATGTATGTGTTTATACTCCTAGCTGTAGTTTGGTCACAACATGTTTGGAGATTTCTCATTGTAAAAGTTTGTGATGTATCAGACTATGCGTGTCAAAGAGCCACATTTGATCCCTGTTCCTGTTTTGATGGATGTATTCTTTCTTTTGTTTTTTCTTAAAGAGTACTAATATGTCTTCTATCCAATAGGCTGGAAATTATGTGAAGGATGAGGTGTGGCATTCTCTGATTGTGGTGATAACAAATGCTTCTAACCTCCATGGTTATGCAGTACGGTCGTTATACAGAGCAGTGCAAGCAGCAGGGGAACAGGTACTTCAAGAATTGCCTAGATCTCCTATTTCCTTTTTTCCCCTTTTGTTCCTTATTGTTTCTTACAATTTGATGATCTTTTCTTGTTAGGAAACTCTCGTTCGAGTTGCGGTTTGGTGCATTGGAGAATATGGTGACATGTTAGTAAATAACGCTGGAAGGCTTGATATTGAAGAACCACTGACAGTGAGTTCATGCTTTCGAAGAATTACTCTTTTAAGTACTAATTTTGATCTCTGTATTTCCATTACATTTTTGTCCTTAATAATTCTGCATCATATTCCTTGGGTTGCCAGCCTCTGATTTATTTTCTTGCATAATCTAAATGAAGTGTCTCACATTATGAGATGTGTGGTAGGCACGCGTTATGAGTTCAATTCTTGACGGATGAGCCAAATTTGGTTTATCTACCAAGTATTGAAGTCGGAACAACAAACTTCTTGGTTATGGAAAGAAAAAAAGTATTATGCGAAGCTTCCTTCTCCTACAAACCCTCAAACCTAACATTTGTTCATTTGCTTAAGGTGTTTCTTCGGGATTCTACAACTTCCACAAATTCCAGTATTGTTTCATTCTCTTAATGAACTATAACACATAAATTCTTATCGTATATCTATATAATGTGGTGCTATTAATGCAATTATAAATCTTGGAAAAACTCGACTCCACGCATGTTGACGCGAAGCTAAGGTTGATTAACTATGAAGAATAATTTTTGTTATGTGCAGATTCAGATGCACTCAACAAAGTAAAGAAGTGATACTAGTTTATAGTTTGATTTGAACTGTAAACAACAATATTATCACCTCAATCCCATAGCAGTTGGGGTCAGCTACATGAATCCTCATGGTCCATTTTGCTCCTGACTTGAACTATGTTTCATTAAAAGAAAACCATGAAGATTATTGGAGTTTGCCACATGCCATCATCAGTTTTAATCATTTCTGCATAGAAATTGTTTACTTCTAGGTTCTCTGATATAGTTCTTTGGAGCAGGTAACAGAATCTGATGCAGTGGATGTTGTGGAGACTTCCATTAAGAGCCATTCATTTGATCTCACTACTCGGGCGATGTGTTTGATTGCTTTGTTAAAGCTGTCGAGTCGCTTTCCATCTTGTTCACAGTATGTGTTCTTAGGCGCTTGGTTACTCCGTCCATGCATTCACAGTTACTTATACGTAGCTGACAAACTACTGTCGAATTAATACTACACATATTCAGTTATTCAGTTGAATATCGTTTTGCATGTTGACTCTATTGTATTTTCTGTCATGTTACACTTTATGAAATTCTCTTTCCATTACGGGACATAACACCAAGTTTGACACACTTCTAATAATAGAAAAAACTGCTAGCGTAGCTAAAGGAAAAGGCTATGGTGATAGATCCCGAAGAAGATACCCTTGCTCACACCTTAGCTGAACTCAAAACGAAAAGTCATTGCACCTTTAGCCGTTTGGAAGGACTCCCTAGTCATTCCTTGTTTAGAGAAAGCTGTACAATCATTGAAAACATCGGGAAATACGATTACTAAAAGTGAGCAGTCTAACATATGCAGTCCACAAGATCACAACTTGCTCTACCATTATCCCACATGTCTCCATTTTTACCTGTTTAATCTGTTTTTAAGATGATGCATTAAGCCTCTCAAAGAGTAAGAAACTGATAAAATGAGTTCTTCAGGATAAGTGAGTAATCTGTAAATATCTGATTTGGTGTAGGCGGATAAATGACATCATTGTTCAGTACAAAGGCAGCTTTGTGCTTGAACTGCAGCAGAGAGCTATTGAATTTAACTCAGTAATTGAGAGGCATCAGAATATCAGGTTTGTTTGATTCCATTTAAAAGGTTGCTCGATGCCTCTACTTTTGTTATAGCTCTCTCATAGGGGTTTCTGGATCATGGATGTATTTTTTCAGGCCTTCACTTGTTGAAAGAATGCCAGTTCTTGATGAAGCAACCTACAGTGGAAGGAAGGCTGGCTCTTTGCCAGCAGCTGGATCAACATCTCAAGGAGTATCAGTTAATCTTCCAAATGGAGTTGCCAAGCCTAGTGCTGCCCCTCTTGTTGACTTACTTGATCTTAGTTCAGATGATGTCCCTGCACCTAGTTCTTCTGGTGGAGACTTTCTTCAGGATCTTCTTGGTGTTGATCTGGCGCCAGTGTCTTCACAATCAGGTTAGTGTTGCTATGTTCCATTGCATGAATATGTTTGCCTGATTTGTTATTCTGATTTTCCTCATATTCTCATCTTTCCCCTGTATAGCATTTAAATGTGTATCCTTTGACCATTCTTACCACAAAAAGAACCATTGTTTAAGGAAGCTGTTCCGACACCACCGTCACTTTTTTTTTTTTAAAAAAAAAAGAAAAACCATTGTTTAGCCACTTGAATCAGCATGTCTATGAAGACAAATATTGAAAATAAAGTTATTTAATACTCTCTCCGTTTCAATTTAGATGAGTTAGTTTGACTTGGCACAAAGTTTATGAAAAAATAAGAAGAAGACTTTTGAAACATGTGGTCCTAAAAGCTTAAGGGGCAAAAGCTTGATGGGGCCATAGCATTTGTGTGGCTATAAAAGCTTCTCATTAAGGGTAAAGTGGGTAAATGAAAAGTTTAAAGTTAAATTATTTCCAAATATAAAAGTGTATCATTTTTTGGAACGTACTAATAAGGAAAGTGTGTCATTTAAATTGAAACGGAGGGAGTATTTTTTATTTGAGCAGGCGGAGATCTTGGAACCACAATCCATTGCTAAAAAGAATTTCCACGTGTTTGGTCCTATAAAAAGAGTTGGGTCTACATGTGAGAGGGCGTGTTGAAGACCTAGTATAAATAAATAGAAGTGTTCCCCCTCACACAATTTAAGATTTCGGATGAGGTGGTCAAACAATTCAAAAGGAACATGTGAGGGTTACAAATCGGCTTTTTTTGGAGAACAGAATAAAGAAAAAGTTGGGTGAAGAAAAAGAGGGCCTAACCTGAATATTTACTTATTATAATTAACATAAAATTTACTAAAAGTTGCTTTCAAGGGAAGTGGACAATATTTGGGATTGACCGAAAAGGAAAGTCGGAGTTCTTTCAGGAACAAGGGACTAACTAGCTTTTCTCAGATAGATCCTGTTGTTATCTTTTAGTTGACTCAAGTTCTAGCAAGTCAAGCCCGCTAGTTTTATGTGTGAAATTTGCAATTGGCATGAACTTATCCATTTTACTTTCCCTTTTTCATTTACTTTGTTGTGCTCTGGTAAGTGGCTGCCAACCGCTAGCTTTTTGGTCCACTTGGGCTGGCTTAGTAGTGGTTTAACATCCAAATGCTATCTCTCCTTGGCTTCTTTTGCAAATACTTGGTGCCTCATTAAGTAGGCAAGTTAGAGTTGGAAACTGCACATGATTCGTGATAGATTCACCATTTACTTAGGGTTGTTGGTTGACATGTTTGTTATGTGGGAATTATACAGGCGGCATTGTTTATGCGTGAATAATGAAAGAATTATTATTATCTTTTTTTTAATAACCGAGAAATTACTTAGGGTTGCTGGGTTCACATGTTAGTTATGCGGGGATTATAGTGCAGGCATTGTTTATGCGTGAGTAATGAAGGAATTATTATTATTATCTTTCTTTAATGACCGAGAAATCTGTAGCCTTCGAAACTCGGGGATGATGGGCATGCGCCTCTATCTTTCTCCATTTAAATACCTTAGTTAGTTCACTTGGAGCTAGGGGTTGTTCTAGCAGTTCAGATTGGATATGAAAATTTATGTTTGGATTTTCAGTTTTCCGGTCCAAGAAATTACAATCCAAGTTCTATCCAAATAAGTTCGGATTGGATCGGTTTTTTTATGTTCGATTTTGGATTAATCGGTTTAGTTATTTCAGATTTTCGGTTTTGAGCCTATAAGTTGAGCTTCTTCTTGTTACAAAAATGAACATTCAAATAAAGTATTCATTTTAAGTTGCCTTAACAATTCCTCATTTCCACCACAATCATACATATTAAATATTTATGCAAGCAATAATACAATTATCAAGGAAATTCCTGGTAATACAATTATCAAGCAATATTACTAATTCTCAAGCCTTAATGCTTCTATTTTGAGAATGAAAATAGAAGCATTAAGGTTTGAGAATTAGTAGGATATTGAACTTAGCATTGGGTAGGGGCTAAATATTCGGATTTTTGGATCCCAAATCCAAAATCCGAAGTTTTCAAAAATTAAATCCGAATTCCAATCGTAATCCAAAAATCCAAAATATTCGGATTTCAGTTATGCCCAAACTTCCTACCCCTACTTGGCGCAATGCTCAAACACGTGACCGAAGACACAAGTCCCTCAATCTTTGCCAACCCCCAGGGGCTATAATGAAGGGATTATTGTGCGGTGATTAATATTATGGGGGTTGTTATTTGGTAATTAATAATGAAGTGATTGTTATGCAAGGATTACTTACTTTAAGGACATTTTTGTCTTTAATGAATTTAATCCCCACTTTGCTAATAAACGTATTCTTATTCCACATTCTATTCCATATTAAATTATACATAGATTCGCACCTGCATAACTTAATGCAGTATTATTTAATACAAAAACTGCATATAATTATGCAGGAACTATTTTTTCTTATACAACCAACCAAACGCTGCATAAGTTATGTGGAGATTATTCTTATCCTTTTAACCAAACCTACTATTATCTTATGGAGGATTTTATGTTGGTATTATTTTTTATTTCCTTCCAAACAAGCAACCTCTTAATGTTTCTTATAAATTTATATCTTGGACTTGTGGGAACTAGAAAAATATTTCTGTCCTTGGGAACTAGAAAAAAGATTTTTGGTCCTTCCTCATGTACTAGTGATTTTCATGTAAGATCTGAAGGGCATAGATGTAAATGTTTAATGAACATATAAGAATAACAAGCACTTGGAATTATTGTTTACGAAGTCAAATTGTGTCGTGGAAAAGCTTTGCTAGTAACTTGTAGGACAGAGCACAATAATTTGGATCACTGAATGTTAATGTTTAGCAAGTTGATTTGTGTGAGAAAAAATTTTGCTAGTAAATTGTGGAAACAGGAGCACAATTCCTGAGTTTAGATTCCAGATTTGGGATGCTTTGTGTTTCAGACTGTACTTCCTACGCGATATCTTTGATCAAAAGTTAGGGTAGTATTAAAGTTCTACTTTAAATTTTTTATTCTACCCTAAAACTAGATTTAGGCAATCCCACCAACTTGTTTTGCCCAAGAACATCACCAGTAAAAAAGGAAAGAGAAGGGGAGAACGGAAAGGTGAATGGATTTGCACGAGCTTGAAATTATTCTCATTCTGCTCTTTGAATTTCAGGTACAAATCAGGCTCAAAAGAGTGGCACCGATGTTTTACTGGATCTTCTGTCAATTGGAACACCACCTGCTAATAGCAGACCATCTACAACTCAGGTGTCGCCCTCCAATGTTGACATTAGAAGTCCGTTGGATCTATTAGATAGATTGTCTTCACCTTCGGCTCCTTCAGTGCAAGTCTCGCCTACAGCTGGAAGTTCTCCTATGTTGGATTTATTGAATGGGTTCCCTTCCAGTCCATCAATTCCTGGTATGGTCTCTATTCTATGCTTTAAACTTGGGTACAGTCTAAAGCTTCTTCAAAGTTGACACTTTTTTACTTTTCTCAGTTACAGAAGGCAATGGTCCAGCGTATCCATCAATAGTTGCATTTGATAGTAGCTCGTTAAAATTAACGTTCAACTTCTCAAAGCAGCCTGGAAACCCTCATACAACACTTATTGAAGCTAGTTTTACAAACAAGTCACAAGAAGTTCTCACAAACTTTATTTTCCAAGCAGCAGTACCAAAGGTAATTGTATTTTTTTTATTTAAAAATTCTTTCTTTTACTCGGAAAGGGGAGTTGGCATAGAAGGATTGGTTTGTGATTAGCCCATTAATTTCCCCTCTTGAGCCTTGCATCTTCTGTGATGATTCTAAATCATTTGTTTGGCAAAAATCATTTTAATAGCCTGTTTGGCCAAAAGTGTTTTTTTTTTCTTTTCTCAAAGTTAAGATATTTGGCCAAGCTTTTAGAAAGTGCTTTTGAGTAGAAGCAGAAATATTGTGACTTATTCCCAAAAGCACTTTTTTGAAAAGCACTTTTAAGAAAAATACATTTAGAAGCACTTTTTGAAAGCTTGACCAAACAATAATTGCTACTCAAAAATATTTTTTCAAATTAATTAGCCAAACACAAACTGCTTCTCACCAAAAATACTTTTTTGGAAAAGTACTTTTCAAAATAAGCTGATCTTAGAAGCTTGTCCAAACAGGCTTTGTCATTCATAGAGTAATTTTTTCATTTTTGCTTACCTATTGCTTCATCTATTGCAACTGTCACATATAATTATTTACTTGGATTAACTTTACTCGGTCTAATTTGAAGTCATGTACCATGTTCATCATCTGTCAACTATGCTTATTTCGTCATTTTGGTGCAGTTTCTTCAACTGCACTTGGATCCAGCAAGTGGTAATACGCTACCTGCAAATGGTAATGGATCAATCACGCAAAAGTTGAAAATCACAAACAGCCAACATGGCAAGGTATGTGATCTCTGATTCCTTTTAATGGATATCTTTCATACATTTGATGTCTGATCACCTTCTAGCAATTTGCACGATCATTCTTTTCCAAACCTGACTGTAAAATAAGCACTTTTTCCACATGCTCTATTATTATTGCAATATGTATGCACATCCGTCATCCACGGCTTTTTGGAGCACTGTAATACATTTTTCAAGTGCAGGTTTATAGCTGACCTTACTATTTATAGCCTGTGAACATTGTCAACCTTACTGCAGTTTTGGTTTTTCTAATATTTTCCTGTTTCCCCAGAAATCCCTTGTCATGCGCATACGGATAGCTTATAAGGTGAATAATAAAGATGTATTAGAGGAAGGCCAAGTCAACAATTTTCCTCGTGATTTGTGAGGTTGAATGGCCCTAGAAGAGGATGATTTGCGAGAGCTTACATTATTAATCAGTACGCGGAGGCTTCAGCTCATTGTTTGTATTGTTCTGGGAGATGTAGCATGTGCTAGTCGGATTTCAAGTAGCTTCGCTCCTCAAAGTCCTCCTCCTTTCCTTCCTTCAAAGATAGCCAGTGTACATTATGATCTGATAAACCCAAGTATGCCATTGTGGAAGTCGAATTTTGCCTTTGAGGCACATACACAGGAGACCTTGTTGGACTCCTTGTTAAAAGTTTTGATATATGTAAGTCTCATTTTTTTTCTAGATTTTTGAGTAATCACATTCAAGAATTGTAATATAGGTTGAGTTGGGACCTTGGCTATATTTTAGACATTTCTTTTTTGAGTTATATAAAATGCGTTGTTTTTACTTTATCCATCATCAAAGATATGCTGCTCCACATGTAACTGGGATACATTTTGTTTTTGGTGTGAGGTTTCTCAATTTGTCGTACCTTCTTATTCTCTTCTTTATATTCTTGGTTCTACTTGGTTTCAGTTACGTCTCGCTTACCACCCTTATTATACGTAAACAACAGAGTTTACCTATGGAGTTTCGTGGCAAACTGTGTTGCTTGGGCAAAAAATATATTGCACATGTGTAGGATGCTCCAAATATTATGAAAATTTAAAATTCCACACGTACACGGTGGCACTTTTAGAAGATCCGAGCAATATAGGTGAAAAATGGGAGTAGGAAAGGTAGAGTGAAAGTCTATCCAGTTATTATGTTGGAGAAGTTTCAATTGAGAATGATGCAACAATCTCAGGAAAAAAAAGCATATCAATTATTGATTCCACTATCTGGTGGGCACAATAACATAAAGTGAGTTACCATATTGGATGTTTAAACCGTGGAAATGACAGCAGATAGTCATTTTTAAGCATGTTGTTTAAAATATATCCATCGTTTACAAATGTATTTAAAGATTAGTCAATTTTTCTCAAACTTAAAGACACGATATCCTAAAGTTTAAACTTCAAAGTTCAAACTTCAGGACCGTGTCCTAAAATTCGAAAATTGTGTCTAGAAGTTCAAATTATATGTCCTTAATATTCAGGATACTTAGTCCTAAAGTTTGGGTATAATCTTTAAATACATTGTAAATTGTAAATATATTTTAAATAGCGGATTTAAAAGTGATTATTGTTGTACTTCACCAAACCAATAGGTGTTTACAAAACAAAAAGAAATGAAGGTCCAAGAAGCTAGCGATTAGGATTCGAACTCGTGCAATACAGTTAGATTTGTAATATATTGGTCAGTGAACTGCACCCTTTAGACAAATAGAGTGCCATTTTATGCTTATTTATAACTTTCTTCATTATTTGGAACAGTTTGTTGTAATCTTTCATTTGGTTTCTTTCTTTAATTTAATATCCTAATGAACTGTCCATAAAGAACAGTTAGTTGTTCCATTCGTCATATTGTAGTTTATGATCTGTCCTACCTACAATTATTTGTAAGTTCAAAACACTGTTAAGTTGTCAACTTTGAACTTATATGTCTTAAACTAAAACCCTGACCTATTACAAAATATGCATTAAAAAACAGTGGAGTGGGTAGCTTAATGGACAAAATAATTAGGACAAAATAATGAATGTCCCCACAGCTTGGAAACCATCCAATTCATANCTACCTACAATTATTTGTAAGTTCAAAACACTGTTAAGTTGTCAACTTTGAACTTATATGTGTTAAAATACAACCCTGACCTATTAAAAACAGTGGAGTGGGTAGCTTAATGGACAAAATAATTAGGACTTAGGAGTGTGTTCATGTTTTTCAATAGGTCAGCACCCCACATAGTTTTCTTGTAATTTAGTGCAACAGCAATATAAGGAAGACTTGAATGTCCCCACAGCTTGGAAACCATCCAATTCATAACTAAAGTCTCCCACATCACTTTTCACTGCTCCCACCATTATCAGAAGCTCCATCATGTGCCTTGCTGAAGAAAATATTTTGTGGGGCTACTACCAATTTCTATAAATTTAATCAATTGGGAGAGGAAAATTGTCATTTACTAGAGCATTAGTAGGTCCTGCTACTGCTTTTGTATTCCTACTTTTTTGTTTTTTTTGGGGTTGGGGTTNCGAGCGAGGCTTGCTCAAATAGTAAAAATCTTGCTCAAATGGTAAAATGCCTCGCTCATCAATCGATATGTTGAGGATTGAACTATGCTGATAATAAGTGAGAATATTACTGATCTCTCGAGGTAGGGTGATGAATTAATTAAAAAAAACAAGAGGTAAGTGTGTACCAATCTTGATTACTAGTGGGTGTAAGAATTGATTATAGATCAAGAATCATACACTTCAACCATGTTTTAAGTAGGAGGAGCTTGACATTAATAGAGTATATGCTCTTCACATTTTCAGCCATAGGTTAAAAGAAATAGAATTTATTAGCCTAAGGGTCAGATTTAATCAGCAATTGTTGTCCTTGTGGCATTATTCAAATACCATAGAGCTTCAAATGAGACAAAAAAGGATAATACCGGCAATTGGATTTGAAACTGTGGAGAATCTTTTGGGAGACACAAACAGGATTATTAAAATAGGAAGGAAGAGTCCCAAGAGTTGATCTAGGTTTATTTTTTCTTGAGATTGCAGCATTTAAATGAGTTTGAAAAATGTCACTGCAGGAATTATATTAATCAAATATTTAAACTTTTTAGCAACCCCAAGTGGTCCCTTGAAGCATAAGAAGTCTAGAGGTAATATTTTCAAACCATGAGTTAGCAGGAAAAGAACTTTCTCAAATCTTGGGTGAATTTTATGGGATTCTAATAGAAAAAAGATAAAGTGGAACATGTTATCCTTCTTCCACAAAAGTGGAAATTGGAAAGAAGCATCATTCAAAGCAGAAAAGCAGAAAAGTGGAAAAAAGGAAAAAGCAAAAGCACCAAAAGAACTTATGACAACTGAATAATCAAATAAATTTAATTAACCAAACTACAAGGCAATTGAAGAAAGGAAAAAGAAAAAGATTGTATACTATTTTCAAATAGAAGGGAGCCTTGGCGACACGCTAAAAGTTGTACGTTGAACAAGAGATTACAGGTTCAAGATGCGGAAAAAGTCTCTTGTATGAATTTGGGGTGTACATCAAACCCAATGCAGTCCGGCCCTTCCCCGAACCCCTTCATAGTGGGAGCCTAGTCGTCGGGCTACCTCTTTATACTATCTTCAAACAGGTTGAGATCTATGATGATCAGACCATGGCAAACTTACATTGTCAACAGAATTATGAAATTTATCCTTCTTGGACCAAAGCCAGATCTTGGAAACAGAAAAACTCTCCCCTCTATTTCCAAGATTTAACCTTTTCCCATAATTATCCCCATCATTTGCAGAATTTCCATTTTGTCCACTTTTCCCTTTCACAATTCCCCTCAGTTGATGACCACCACCATCTACACCATGATTTTTAGCACTATTGGGACACAATGCAACTTGCAATTCTGAATCAGCCACCACATACTGAAAAGATCCCATTGAAAAACACCTTCTTGAATCCAAATTACTATTACTAGTCTCTCCCATTTCCCTTTTCCCAATTTCAAGAATACCATTATTTGTATTCTTGAATTTTCCAAGTCTAACAGAAAACACCCTTCTTGAACTGATCTTACTATCAATATCCTCATGTAATTTTGGACCAGGAGAAACACCAACACCAACAACACTTCCATTTTCATCTCTTGTTGTATCATCAAAGTAAAAGATTGGATTTTCAATACAAAAACCAGGTGTAAAAAGACTCCCTCTACAAAGTGGACAAGTGGAATTTGACAAAAGCCATGTATCTATACAACTTATATGAAAAGCATGACTACATAAAGGGAGCAGCCTTAACTTATCTTGTTCTGAGAATTCACAAAGACAAACAGCACAATCAAATGGTTCTTTTAAACCCATTATATCTTTATATAAAAACACAGGGAGTGCATCAATAAAGGACTGATCTAAACCTGAATCATGTAGATTAAAAAGCTGTTGTAATTGCCTTTGATAGGAACCAGAATCAGACATTTCAGGGTCTCTAGTAGATTGTGAAGAAAACCTATGTTTCATTAAATACCTAACTAGCAAATGTAAAATACCAGAAATAAAGAATATGATAGCTAATATTACTATGATAAAAAGAACAGCTGGGCTAATTTTATTTCCAGATGAAGATGATGACATTTTTTTTGGCACTTGAACATAGGAACTAAAAAGACAGTATTTTGCTCATACCTTATTTCATTTGTTGAAGAAAAGCATATAGTAGTACTGATGGCACAAAGACAAAGCCAGCTAATATATTTGAGGAGTACAAGAAATAGACCCACCCCACATTTCTTTACATTTATAGGAAACCCAATACCCAAAAATGCTCAAGAAAGAGAGAAAATGATAAAATCTTGAGCTGGATTTGTTTGGAAACAGACCACTTTGCAGAAATTGAATTGAAGAGGAATTGATATTTTTTTTACGTTACCTTATTGTTCTAGTAGCAGAAGCTAATTTGTTAATTTTGTCAGATGGCCAGATGCTGCAAAAAGGAAAAAGAAACTGGAGTAATTAAATGGGATGATGGTACTTTGAGAGTACTAAGTAGCTTCCAAAAATAGGTCAAAAGCTTCAAAGAACACCCTAGACTAGACCCCTTAGGGGATTTATTTAATTTTGAACAAATTAAATAAAACAGAGAAGCAAAAGATTTAGAGTATCCTTTTCTGAAAATACGCTTTTACCCTCCCTATTAGGTTTTTGGGCTAGGGGGGAATCTGTTGTATTTCTTCTTCTCAATGAATGTTGTTTGGCAATTAAGCTTGAAAACTGGCTTAGTTATGCAATAGTTGGGTGGGTGCTACATGGCCCAATAAGGAATTGTAGAATTAACTTCAGCACAGGGAACGAATCAAAGACTTTGGAATTACATACACACACACCCCATGCACGCCTCATCACCAATGACAATGTTAGAGTTGTACATCGACCTACTAATGCTAAAATAAACTCATGTACTGGTATGAGGTATAAGTGGATATAGTGCTGGTATAAAATTTAATATCATCTTAATATTTCGTTTGGTTAGTAAACCTGGTATATGTTATTCCGAAATTAAAATTAGTACCGGAATAACTTATACCTTTAGAGGGTGGGGTAATTAGTGCCGGGATAGCTAATACCTTCTTTTTAGAAATTATGCAATTGTCATTTTTAATACAACATACCAAATAATGGATAAAATACAATACAAGTATAACTAATCCCAACATAACTTATCCCAACATAAGCCGTATCCAAACCAAACGACCCCTAAATTATTTGCAATAACATTGTAACGATCAAACCAGTACTGTAGTCGTTGAGGGCCAATGGTCT